AATTTTGTTGTTATTCTTTTCTCAGATAAAGTTTTGGGTTTTGTATCGGTAGATTTAGATCCACTACTGGCTGGATTAAAAGAAATATATGGCTGGTATAACATCATGGATTTCACAGGACAGTGTCAAGGACAGATTAAGGTAGTACACCTCATTTCTAATTATTTTATATGGCCTCATGTGCAGGCCTTGAAGTTTAAAAACACCACAGTCCCTCTATAGATAGAGTGACTGTGAAAAAACAAATCATTTTTTAAATCGCTTTAAAAAAACTGTCCATTAAAGGTGTTTTATCTTTATCTTTATTTTTAAATGCCAAAGTCAACTTTGTGACCATTCATAAAATTGTGACTTCAATATCAGTCAAATTTATGTCATACTGCGTGTCAATGCTCAAAGAAACTTTGACAGATTTATAGTAAAAATTGTACCAATAGTACTCGGTGTCACATTGTAAGTCTGTTTATATCTTCATGTTTGTTCCACCATGAGAAAATTGGTTGTCCATGACAACTGTCTATTTTGACACCTAATGTGGTACACTGACACTGGTACTGTCATTCATGTGTGTGATGTTGACTCCAAATAACAAATGTAATAATGTAGATATTTGTATTTCCTTTCTATAGGTTGGAATATCACCACAGGATAGTGTTTCTCCATTGAAGTCTAAGCCTCAGACAGTGATGCAGCAGGTACATGTATAGTCATTAAATTAATAATAACCAGTTGGTATGGAATGCATATAATTGAATATCTATTTACGTATTTTTTAGACAGAAATGTAGCAATTCAATCAATGACAACATCTATTAGCATAAGATGTGTATCTGATCCTGGATACTGAAAAATACTTTATTTTAGCTGGAATTACCCGGTAAATATCGCTGAAAAGGCTTTTTGGGTCTTCTGTATGGAATTTATTTTCACTGATTTTAGACAAGTTAAATGTAAAAGATAGAAAAAACATATATTTGCTGGATTTTAAAATTAATAATTTCCAAGCGAAAATAAAGTATTTTACAATTAAACTCTGATGATGTATTGTTCCTTAAAATTATGCAGGTACTATTTGTTTTACAGGCAGCAGCACAAAACAAGTTTAGTGGCAGTGTTGTGTATGATGATTTTCCAAGTCATCTCGTACAGTACCCGGAAGTATCTATAAAACTATCACAGAGATCAACTCATTATGCAGAACATTTTGAAAACATCAAAAAATATCATGAAAATTTACAAGACCAGAAAAGAGAAATGAGGAAAAAGGACATCGATAAAGAGCCTCATCATTTCTCATTTGCAAACGATTCAACTGTCTCAACATCTTTTCTTTTTAGAAATCTCAGGTATGTATTTGTTGTTTCTGCTGTTTTGCAGAAATATACACATACACATACTTACTCATAATTTTCATTTCTTATATACATGTACTGTGCTAACTATTAGAAGCCCATCTCCAACAGAAGCTCATATCAACAACAAATATCATTTGTTGTATACTGAATCATTAAAATAATACTTCTGTTGAAAAACAATGACAATAATTTGTAAAATTATATTTGGTTATTCATTTTAGGTCACAGATGAAAGGATTGGATGAACTTCAGAGAACCATGCAAGACAAATTAAAAAAGTTTGAACCAGCGTCCATTCATGAATCTTCTGCTGCTCCTCCTCCTCACTTTGAGATAAACGACTCATACAAATCATCACCTTCTCTTTCATATGTACAAGTATGTGATAGTAACAATGAAAACGCACCTTTAAATCAAATGGATGAAACAGATGTATGGGGAGACAGCCCTGAGCTTATTGATGGAGAACATGGATGTGAAGTTGATGTTATTATTCCAAAATCTCTGAATGATATCTCATCACTTAATGATAGTTTACAGTTTGCTGAATCATCAGTAGAATTACCAGCAATGGATAACTCATATAATAGTGCAAATACCAGTGATGAGTTGGTACCATGGTCAACAGATGCTGGCGATGAATCAGTGGGAATTTCAGATGATGTCCAAATTCAGGATGCTGGACTTTCATCTTTAGGTACTGGAACAATAGATACAGGAGCAGTGGAACCTGTAACAATAGATACTGGAGCAATGGAC